TTTGACCAGTTTATGGGGTTAACTATTTGCCCATAGCTGGGACCCTAACAGGTGCTACCACCCTGTGTCACCAGCAATTAAGATGTGGTTTCACGTTCCTCAAAACCTCCTGGTTAAAGGCCTTGCTGTTGGATGTAGTTTATCGTCATACCCAGGACGGTGGGGGAGGAGGAGGAGGAGGAGGAGAAGGAGGTTGAGAAAATTTGAATTCATATTCTCGTGCTAGTCGTCAGTGGGGACACAAGACTGAAAAAAAGCAGCCATCTTATCCAACGTCCCTCTATTATTGTGGATTAATAACAAATGTTTTAAAAATATTAAATGTTGGAATATCTGAAAAAACTGATCAACGCAGGTTAAAGTTAAGGAAGAGCGTGGCAAAGTATCAGGAATTAAATCTGGAACTGTCTTACTTATAAAAGAGAAAAAAAAAGAAACAATGATGTCTGCTTTATCGTCACGAAAGAATAACGGCTAATCTTTGAGTTTGATTAAGATATATCTGCTATGGGAAGCCTTGGTCCATTTGCGTCACGTTTCATGATCATGGTCATTATCACATTTGATTAATTAATTAGTTAATAGTGACTATTGGAGTCTTCGGAGGTGATTGAGAGGACTCATAAGGTGTGCAAAGATGCAGCCAGGATTTTAGTCATTTAAAAAAACAAAAAGCAAAAAAACCCCCCAAAAACCCCCCAAAACATGAGTCGTATATGCCATCAACTCTAATTCTATATTCTGTCAAAAGTCAAAATGATTATAACGAGCGAAGATTAATCTCGTGAAATATTCATTTGAATAAAAAAGTCCACACTCTGACTAGTTTAATATTCATCTTTATTTTTGTTGTTGTGCTTAATGCAATCCGCAGGTTGTTACGTAATATACAACCATTAAGTCAGCAGCATCCGATCGGATATATAAAAAAAAATAACTTAAAACCAATTTTGAATTCGCATCCGTTACATTTGGAATCATATCGGACAAGAACGGTGCCTTACAAGTTAGGCTACAAAACTAAGCCAGCAAGCATCATTTAGTTTTAATCATAAACTTATATTCCTCATTATCCGATCTTTACACAAAATCGTTGTGTTGGAGATCTTTTGAGAAAGACCTTTGAACTCATTTCCGCTGCATCAGAAAGTGAGCGAAAATCGGAATGGGTGGTAACATAAACAGGAAATGGTTAGATTAAACATGGCGCTAAGGTATACTGAGCTGAAGGAAATGCGTACTTGCGTGGGCGCATGCCGGAAGAGGTGTGGCCAGACGAAGTTGCGTGGGCACATGGCCGGAAGGGGCATGGTCATAAGAAGTTACATAGGTGACATACCGGAAGAAGGTGTAGCCACGTGAAGTTACATGGTTGTCCAAATGTTATAAAAACAGCTCAGTTCTTGGCCCGACAGAGAGGCTAGCTAAAGTTTCACCGAAGATTTTGTCTCCTTCAATTCCTGTGCACACAATCCTAACATCTGTGATTCTTCCTCATTCTTCCCTAATCGCCGCAACTCGAACAGTAAAGCTATTTATATATATTTATATGTAAGTGTTCATCGACTTATTTGAGTGCAGCATCAATCAATATACAACAGTAGTAACAACACTTGGTGTTAGTAGTAATTACAATAGTCTCGATTTTTTTAAATTTCTTATATGAAGCATTGTCATTAATTATTACATGAAAAGAAATAGTCAAATATTAATATAGACTAGGTTTCATCTAATAAACTTAATAATGTTCACGATCACGTGTCTCATAAGCCAGGGTTCGGCAACGTACGGCACGTGTGCCACACGTGGCACCCCAAGCAATTTCCAATGGCCCGCAGCCAAAAATGACATCACGAATTCCAAACCAATAAGTACTACAACACAAAGAAGATATTTAGCTGTTTCAATTTTAATATATACTAAAGTATATATACTATATAAAATATATTGTAGAACAGGTATATTGACACACTGAATGAATTTAAAACCCTAAGTCGGCACATAGGTTGCCGACCGACCCCTGTTATAAGCCGTTAATCTCATTGGGACAACCGAACGTTCTGGAACAGTGTCATCAGTGGCTGGATTTAGAACAATGGTTCTTAACCTTTTTTTGCCCAATGCACCCTTTTCCCCATAAGTCTGAATGTCCAATATCCCCTTCTCAAGATTGTACGGTTTAAAAGCAGCATTTCAAATAATATGCATATATTATTGAAAATCTTCAAACGTTTCCATATTAGTACATATACATTAACATGGATTAGTTTTATATTTTATCAAATATGTATTGTTCCTAATTTGTTTTATATCAAAATGTATTTTTTATACTTTCGTAGTGTTTTAATTTTTCTTTTGGGGTTCCCTATTTGCCCATAGCTGGGGCCCTAACAGGTGCTACCACCCTGGGTCAGAGTGAACCGGGGAACAATAGCAATTAAGAGATGGTTTCAGCTCCTAAAAACTTCCTGTCTTCTGATCAGTGGCCGGATGTAGTTTATTGCCCCAGGACCAAATAAACAGCTTCTATTTTGATCACTGAACAAAACTGAGATATGTGGTTAAGAATAAAAAACCTTTTATTTTTGTGGGATCAAAATTTGTGTTTACAACACGACTTAACAGTAGCACAGAGAATCATGGGATAGGTAAATATGATGTAAATGGGGATACTTGTATAACAGCTAACAACTGTTTCAGACTACGGACTTAATCACTTCCTCTCGTACATATATCTGCACCGGATCTTAGAAAGATAAGCGTTTCAGAGCTATTTAAAAATGTCAGAATATTTAAAATGAATAAATTAAAACAAAACTAATCTTTTTGGTGAATAACTTTTGAACAATGATTCAACAAAAATGTGAAAGAACCAACTTTATCCAAAGAGAGAGAACCAATCCTAAATTGGACAAGTTGGAGGAAAAAGAGAAAATACACGAAGCGTTCCGTCTTGGATCTGGTTAACTTTCAGATGTGCAGCCTCTTGGGGGATCATTGGGCATTGATGCCTAAAAAGTGACATGATCGAGAAGTGACCCGCAGTCGAAAAAATCACCGACAACGAAACCAGTTAAAGGAAAGATGCATTTTCTTTTTTCATCATTTCCCTCTAAGGAAGGCGATAAAGCCACTAAGATTCAATGGGTTACCGAGATTGGGACCTGAGAAAAAATTACTGAGCAGAAAAGAAAATTAAAAAAAAAAATTGGGGGACAGATGACGACGATTGATACTGAATTTAATTTTTGAAGATCGTAGTTGACAGGGATGCAAGAAACTGGAAGAGAATTTCAGCGGCAAGCATTGTGAGAGAAGAAACTATTTGAATAGAACTTACGGTTGCATTTAGCAATTTCAGCAGTAACACGATGATATCCAGCTTCTAATCTCGGATAAAAGAGGAAATCTCATCAGAAAGCAATTGCCATGAATATATTTATAGAAAAAGAACAGAGAAAATACGTTACGGGAAGCTGTTTAAAGTCGAGATGTCAGGTCAGGACCGATAACATTGCAGAATCTTCTTTGGATTTTGTCAAGAGTCTCTGTAGCTTCTGGCTTATTTGTGTGCTTCAAAAGTGAGCCGGAACAACTCCTACTACAATTTTGAAATGGAAGAGAATGAAGTGTGTCAAATAAGTCTCTCTCCTGTAGCGTTTGCCGGGGTGAATTGATTAACAGGCAAAAAGATTACTTTTTCATTATATTTGAACTGCTCCCTTCTGCCTGCTTCACGAGGAAAACTCATTATTCTCAGCTCCCAGCCCACACTCGTCCCAGTCAGATCAGAGACAAGGTACAGATAAGAATGTCGATTCCTAACCGGCATGAACAACTAAAGGGTTATTCTTCAAACTCTTATTTCGTTTAATTAGCATCATCATATATCGCTACATACATTTTAAAACATTTAGTATATATTTTATGACACATATCGACAGATTCTGGTGTCAAGAAAATATGAGTAGGGACGCCTATATAGACTATGGAGTTAGTCAAGTTGATCATTGCTACTGAGTAGCGAGTTCGATCCCCACTATATTCCCTAAACTTGCTACCTTTTTACAATCTAAGCTAATTTTAATAAATAACAAAAAATATGAGAGGTGTTGAAAAACTCTCGGCTCAACCAAGAAGGGTATGTAACATAAATGCTGATGTTTGATGAGATATTCGGAAACAAATCGAACATCGAACATTTCCTCGCCCACTCTTACTTCAGAGAACAAAATAGAATTTAAAAATATGAGTGAAAAAATATCAATAAAATTCATTCCTTCTATAAGCGAGATTGTTGAAATAATTAAGGTTTATTACTCTTTCTTTGTTTCTATTTTTTAATGAAGGACGAAAAATTAATACTTGCATTAGATCTCATGATTTCACCGTCATTTATTTTCTGTTTGCCATATTCCAGTTGTAAATTTTATTCTCCTTGACCCTAGAACACTAACCATGAATATATAGAACCCAGCCCAAATGTTCCTATTTTTAATTACAATTTTCAGTATCTGATTTTCTTACCTAAATAATATGTTTTTCAGTTCCTATTAATGTTAACTCAAAGTACAAAGTTTGACGTGCTTCCATGTTAAATATCTCAAATAAAGATTTATATTTAATTTTTTTTTATATTTCCAAAATCGGGTATGATATACCCATGGTTAGTAGTGGTGTAACTTTAATTGATGGCTAGTGTTCTAGGGTTAAAATGCCTTTACCTCCTTGCATATCGTTGTTTTCTAAGGCACAGCATGAAATAATTTTTTCTATTACCCTATCGTTTTCACCACCATCTTCAGAGAATTACTCTTCTTTATGACTTGTATTTTCATCCGAGCTGTTTTTATCATAATGCTTTGACCACTGTACGCTATGATCTTACTCGTACTATTTAACTTTTTATTTCTTTTCACGCAGTATTTTCCTTGCTTGCTCCCTAGGCACATCATCATTCGTAACTGTCGCCTGCCTCCAAATGAACTAATTACTCTTACACTATTTTGCCCATGGATTGAACTCAAAATTTTCAGGGAAGAAGTTGATCTTAACTTCTTCATATACTCGGTGTTTGCTCTTCAAATATATAATCTAAGCTTCATTTCTAATCAGAATATGGCATATGGTTCTTACGCATACACTGTTATTGCTAAGTGGAGTTTTTATAGCATCATGTGTATGGCATTTAACACGTCACGTGACCTCTAACCCATTAGGTTTGTAAGGCAGGGCCGGATTATCTTTTAAGCTAGTATAGGCTGCAGCTTAGTGCCTATCAAGCTTTTAGAAAGCAATGATTTCAATTTTCTAGACGTTATAACTTCTAAATAGTTTAATAAACTGTAATTATATTAATATAATAAACTAATTTATTTTACAGGAAGCAAAGTAAGGAAAATAATGTTTTAGTTTGTGTCATTTTGCTTCAAGTAGATAACATGTTTGATTTTAGTTCAGAAGGTTTAAATCTTAGAAATTTTTATAAAGCAATGATTTTAATTTTCTAGATATTATAACTTCTAAATAGTTTCATAAACTTAAATGATATCAATATGACAAACTCATATTTATTTTGATTGTGTTATTGTTAATCTGCTGGTCATAAAAATCACTTTTTTTTACAACGGTTGTATTCAAATATGTAGTCATTTGGTTTGGAATAAATACTAAAATAGCGATTTTATTTAAAGAATTTACAATCATTTTTCTTCAAGCTATGTAAATCTCAATAAAATATATCACTGTCTAGTATTCTGAGATGAGGTATGTACACTGTTTACATTATTCAGACTATTGTCCTCATCTTTGTCGCCATGTTTATCACAACGTTTCGGCCGTTATACGCTCCGGCCTTCTTCAGGTGAATAAAGGCGTTAGTTAGATCGAGTGACAGGATCCAAAGAGTGTGAATTCAATATCTGATTAAGGCAGTGGATAGCTTTCAGAGGGGAATTGACAGGAGATAACTGACATCTATTAGACGTGGCACGTGGAACTAGAACAGTCTACCCCAGTGAGCGAAATAAAGGGTTCAGTTCGACATTCCAATCACCTGAAGAAGGCCGAAGCGTACAACAGCCGACACGATGTGATAAACATGGCGACAAAGATGAGAACAATAGTCGGAATAATGTAAATGGTAAAATATATCACGTGTAAAAAATATTCAAGATAGGTGCGGGCGAATTAGAGAATGGCTCCGTCTGAAGGACGTATAATTTCATCAACCTAGGAGCCCCCAAAATGCTATAATCCGGCCCTGCATAAGGGCACCTTGCACTGCAGCCATAGCAACATCAATGTTTTGGGGGCAAGATAACCTGACGGAGCCCATACATCTTCAGGCTGTTTTTGCATTCAGAATTTTCTTTCTCCTAGAATTATCGCCACAACCATCCAAGAGAACCCAGTTTGACATTTAAGTCGTAGGTGGTAAAAAAAGGATTCATGCCTTTTCTAAGGGAATTAGTGGTTAGAACGTTCGCATTCTAACCATGAGACCCGGGTTCGAATCTCACCATGGTCGATTTGACAGGAAAAAGACTGGAGGGGTAGAATTGTAGAAACTATATTGTGATATATATTAATTAAAGCTGTCAGATTAGCATGAAAATTTGGAGAATCTACATTGTGACATAAATTAATTAAAGCTGTCAGTTTAGCATGAAAGTATATATATATATATATATATATATATATATATATATATATATTATAAAAAATTTCCTCTTCCTTTCCCCCAAACCTGCTTTGCTATTTGTTTCCTTTTTCTTCTTTTCTCTTCCTGTCTAAAAATTATGTAGATGTTAAATTGTCTGAGCTCTTAACTGAGTAGACTTGAATCTAAGTAAATTATCAAGGATGGTTTTAAAAAAAAAAACCTTATCCCTATTTCCAAGATGGACCTTTCCATGGATCCTCCAATCACCTCTGTCACCTTATATCAATCTAAAACTATACTTCAAAAATTATATTAAAAATAAAAGAATCCTAATTCTTTTGTAACTAGAGATGTGACCTTATGAACCAGGAAAATGTATTTTCAGTGGAAATAAATTATAGTCACGGAAACATAAGGTTGTCTATTTCTTAACTATATATATATATATATATATATATATATATATATATATATATATATATATATCAATTATATAATTGGTATATACGGAATGAATTCAATAACCAACAATTACTATTCTTGATTTAAAAAAGAGTGCTCAATACAAAGTAGAGCAGATATAATTATTATTTATAAAAAATTATAACATAAGTATGTTATAAAATCACTAAAAAAATAGCCATTTTGTTTCAACACAGGGGTGAGGTGTCTTATCAAGTTTGAATGATGATGTTGAAGATAAAATAAATGGTTTTAAAAGTTTCAGATTAATTAACGATCCTACACTAGGGGAAACATTGTTACAAAAGCTAGAATAACCAATCAAAAAAACTAAGTATAGAAAGATTCAAAAGCTTGACAACGAAATCATGTTA